CACCCCCACCCGCTTCCTCCCAGAGCCTCAACAACAGGACTCTGATGCAGAGAGCAGCCCGTTGTAATTCATACCAAGTTGTAGGCTTTGTGTGATGAAAGCAATGGAGCGCTGCCTGGGAGATTGCTTTGCTGCACTCCACGAAGCAGATTTGAAACTGTCGTGGACCACTTTAGATGAGAGTTGGATTATGAAATGACCTGCTATGTCTGTGTCATATTGTTCTGCACAGGGTGCATTATACTCTGCTAACTAGGTGTTCAGTGCCAAATAAGAAAGGTATCCTAGATGCAATTTGTCAGCTGTAGCTTATGGAGGGTTGTTTTTTCCCCCTCCATTAAAATTTAAAAGTGCAATGAAGGAAGATGGTATGCTTTACATGTCTAAGAACAGGTTACCTAATAGCAGATCCATGCTTGGGATATTAAGAATGTCCATGTGCGATCCTTTAAAACAAATCCAGCTGGATAGAATCGTTTCTTTGATTCTCTCTCTCCCCCTTCCAAGTTAGTAAAACACATTAGAGGTGCGTGTGGGTGGGTGTACGCTTTTTTCAAGAAAATGAATCACTGGCAGTACTTTTTTCTTCTTTTACAGATAATTTGCCTGTAATCTGTTGATTTCAGCCTAGCAATTCTGCATATAAATGAAGAAATCGAGTCGATATACTCAGGTATCATTGCCCTTGTCTTTTTTTAATCTAATTGCTAATTTTGCTTTTCCTTCCTCCCAAACCCTCAGGCTTGAAGATGCAGTGGACGCCAGAACATGCCCAGTGGCCAGAGCAGCACTTTGACATCACTTCGACCACCCGCTCTCCCGCCCACAAGGTAGAAGCTTATCGTGGACACCTGCAGCGCACCTATCAGTATGCCTGGGCTAACGATGACATCTCTGCTCTCACGGCCTCCAATCTGCTGAAGAAATATGCAGAAAAGTATTCCGGCATTTTGGAAGGGCCAGCTGAACGGCCCATCCTGGGTAACTATGTGGAGCCTCCATCAGGGCTGGTGAATGGTCGCAAAAGTGAAAGTGAGCCCTGGCAGCCTTCTTTGAACTCGGAGAGTGTTTATCCCATGAACTGTGTCCCAGATGTTATTACTGCCAGCAAAGCTGGAGTAAGTACTGCCCTCCCTCCAGCAGATGTCTCTGCCAGTATAGGGAGCTCCCCTGGGGTGGCTAGTAACCTGACAGAACCTAGTTATTCAAGTAGTACATGTGGAAGTCATACAGTACCTAGTCTGCATTCAGGGCTCCCATCTCAGGAATATGCCGCAGGATATAATGGATCTTACCTGCATACAAGTTACAGTGGCCAGCCAGCACCTGCACTTCCTTCACCTCATCCCTCTCCTTTGCATAGCTCTGGGCTTTTACAGCCACCCCCTCCGCCACCGCCACCCCCAGCCCTAGTGCCAGGCTACAATGGGACATCTAATCTTTCTAGTTATAGCTATCCGCCAGCAAGTTATCCCCCTCAAAGTGCTGTTGGGCCTGGCTATAGCCCTGGTGGTGCACCACCTCCTTCAGCATATCTGCCTTCAGGTATCCCTGCACCAACTCCTCTGCCCCCCACCACAGTACCTGGGTACACCTACCAGAGTCATGGGTTAACGCCCATTGCACCGTCTGCCCTGACCAACAGCTCAGCCACTTCTCTCAAGAGAAAAGCTTTCTATATGGCAGGGCAAGGAGAAATGGACTCCAGCTATGGAAATTACAACTATGGCCAACAGAGATCTACACAAAGTCCCATGTACAGGATGCCTGACAACAGCATTTCCAATGCCAGCAGAGGGAACGGCTTTGACCGAAATGCTGAATCCTCCTCCTTGGCGTTTAAGCCAACAAAACAGATAATGGCTTCAGAGCAGCAAAGGAAATTTAACCAGTCCAGTCGGGCTCTGACACCCCCATCCTACAGTTCTGCTAAGAATTCCCTTGGCTCCAGAGCAAGCGAGCCCTTTGGGAAGTATAGCTCTCCCGTCATGAACGAACACAGCGAAGAGCACAGGCAGCTTCTTCCTCACCCAATGCAAGGCCCGGGACTTCGTGCAGCTACCTCATCCAACCACTCTGTGGACGAGCAATTGAAGAACACCGATGCGCACCTCATGGACCTTGTGACCAATGAGATTATCAACCAAGGGCCACCTGTGGACTGGAATGACATTGCTGGACTAGATTTGGTGAAGGCTGTCATTAAAGAGGAGGTTTTATGGCCAGTCTTGAGGTCAGATGCGTTTAATGGGCTGACTGCTCTACCTCGGAGCATCCTTTTGTTTGGACCTCGGGGAACAGGCAAAACATTACTGGGCAGATGTATAGCTACCCAACTGGGTGCCACATTTTTCAAACTCACAGGTTCTGGTCTTGCCACAAAGTGGTTAGGAGAAGGAGAAAAAATTGTTCACGCTTCCTTCCTGGTGGCAAGGTGCCGACAGCCCTCGGTGATTTTTGTTAGTGACATTGATATGCTCCTTTCATCCCAAGTGAGTGAAGAGCACAGTCCAGTATGTCGGATGAGAACCGAGTTCCTTATGCAGCTGGACACCGTGCTAACTTCTGCTGAGGACCAAATAGTAGTAATCTGTGCCACCAGTAAACCGGAAGAAATAGATGAATCTCTTCGAAGGTACTTCATGAAACGACTTTTAATCCCACTTCCTGACAGCACAGCCAGGCACCAGATAATAGTACAGCTGCTTTCCCAGCACAATTACTGCCTCAGCGACAAGGAGGTTGCACTGCTAGTCCAGCGTACAGAAGGCTTTTCTGGACTCGATGTGGCTCATTTGTGTCAGGAAGCTGTAGTGGGCCCTCTCCATGCCATGCCAGCCACAGACCTTTCCGCCCTTATGCCCAGTCAGTTGAGGCCTGTTACGTACCAAGACTTTGACAAGGCTTTCTGCAAAATACAGCCTAGCATCTCTCCAAAGGAGCTCGATACATATGTTGAATGGAACAAAATGTTTGGTTGCAGTCAGTGACAAGCCGTCTTTTTAAAAAAAGAAAAAAAAAGAAAAAGAAACAAAAAACAAAAAACAAAAAAATGTAATGAATGTTGGTGCGCACACACACACATATGTACACACAAACCTGTTACATAGGGCACGGAACCCCTTTTCAGTCGTGTTAAAATTGTGGAAGGGTACTCGGGGTGGGGGGGGGAGATGATCACTTTGCATCTAAAGAGCCAGGTTTAGGCTTGAAGGAATAGCGCGTCAGAGGAGAGCTGTTGATCTGCAAAGCCACAGAGGATAGAAAGAGTCTGTTGATGTTCCGTTCCATTCCGTTCAGACTAGACAACACACTCTCACCATCGAGGGTTGATTTTTAGAAGGACATGAACCCTGTGTGTTGATTCATTCTGCTGTTCTTGAGATTTAGTTGCTGTCAAGTGCCTAAAGTGGTGCTTTATTTTTTCCTTTCCTTTCCTTTCGTTTCCTTTCCTTTCCTTTTTTTTTTTTGGTTTGCCTCACAATTACATTGGTGGCATGTGCTAATATAAAGAGCTTTAACTTCAAAATGTTATGGGACTAAAGACATGAACAGTTGTGTTGCGACAGAGAACCCGGTGTGACTTTGGTTTAGTTTTGGTTTTGGTTTTCTCTTTCGGCTAGTCTAAAAGCAACAGTATTCCTCAATCCTGTCTGTTCTGCAGTATTAAACTAAGAACAGGTAAAACAGGGTAACGGTAATCTGGACCTTAATTTCCGCAGTTTGTTTCGTTTATTGTTCTGTCTGCAAAAAAAGAAAAAAAGAAAAAAAACTCAGGAAAGTGATTGTGATTTGTACAGTACCTCAAAGGAATGTGTTGAAAGCACTATGTACTGCTGAGATTTAATAGGCTAGGCTTCAATGTTACTTTATCTTAAATATGTATGTTTACCTCAATGGTTGGGAAAAAAAATGACAAGGAGAAATATTTTGAATGTATTAAGCAGCAAGCTGAAGCGCGCTAAAAAGTTCATCTTTAAAACTTTGAAAATACAACAGGAGTATCCCAGTGTTTCAGAAAAACGTTTCTTTCTTTCTTTTTAACCAATATTGGGGATCAAATTCGAGCAAGGCAATTTTCATGGCAGTTGTGTGTGGAAGTCCTTAGTCCTTGACAATTTTGTGACAAGCCGGTAGAGAGTGCACAGAGAATAAAAAAGTCCCCCTGTCGAATTATTGAATCATCTGGGACAGTCAGAGACGAGATCTGATTAGGACTCTGAGAGGCAAATTACCTTAGACTGCAAGATGCAGCTTCTGCATCTCAGTTAGGGCTGTGGCATCTCGGTCCCCCCATCGCATCAGGAGAACAGACTCCTTGTAGGTCGCGGAAAGCTTAGAGGGCTGCGGAGCTGCCCACAGCAATGCAGCAGAGAGCAGCAAAGCAAACAAGCAAGCAAAACGACAGAAGTGAACCCTCAGATGGCATCTCTCTTCCTCGCCTTGCATTTTCACCACCAAATGAAGTTACCCGTTCGTTTTACGTGTGCTGTGGCCTCTTCCGTTTCCTTGATTGCTCTGTTTGTTTTGTTTTTCATGTCATCATTCCACGGTCATTAGAAATTCGCCCGGCTGGAAAATGCCCACCATTTTATTTCTACCTCAGATTTTGTTTTATTTCTCTCAGAAAGCAACGTAACGAACAGGACGAGCCAGATCACCACTAACATGCAAAGCGGTTGAAGGACTTGTTAGTGCATAAACCTAAACGTGCTTCTTTCGACAGAGCCTGCTTTGGGTTCGGTGAGGTTCCCTTCCCGGGGTAGAGTTGCAGTCAGAAAGCCAGGGGGCCAGGAAGGGAATCCTGCTGCCTCTTCCCGCCTGCCCGGCCGGGGCAAACAGTGACGGTCTTCCTTCGGGAAAGAGAAGCTAGGTAGGATGTGTGGCATTTTATCCTATTTGTGGCCCTGCTCCCAATTGTCTTCCTTTTTGATTCTTTAATGCTTTTATGAGCAATTCTTTTCATGACAGCTGACTGATGCTGTAATGTCGCTGAACAGTGGAGCAATTCAAACCTTCGCAGCCACACGAGCGGAGAGCAACCCTCCCCCCTCTCTCTCTCTCTCTCCCCCCCCTTTCTCTTTCTGTTTTTTTAATGTGATCTTTTGTTTACTTTAAAGAAACAGGAGCTGAACAATTGCAAATTATTGGCATTTAATGTTACTTTTAAGTGATGTACTGTACCTTCAAATCCATGAAATAAATGCACTGAAGAGCTCTAATGAGAAAAAGACCAATTAGTCACCTACTTATTTTGTCTTTAAAGCTACTGCCCAATTATTACACTTGGCATTTTTGCAGCTAAAATGTTAATTTTTGTTGCTGAAAGCCAAGCGAATAAACCAAAATGCACGTTCTAGAAGTCCTTTTTGTTCATTCTAGACTTATGGGTTGCTTCTAAAAGGCAAAGTGGTTCATTAAAAAGTAAAACAGTGCCTTTCACTAAGGATATAGTAAAGTAAGTCTTAATAAACGCTTTGCATTTTCAGTTAGCAAAGGCCTTCCTTCCTCTCTTTTTCCCTCCCATGCATTTCTTCCATTGTATCTTTTCCATTTGGGAAGAGCAACGATCCCCTTTGCCAGATCCATATTGATCTTGCAGATGGCTTTCTGATGCATACTGCTGACCAATCTTCTGACTTTCAGATATCACATTATGCTGTTGTGCTGCAGTCGTTTGAAAGGTTCAACCATGTTTGAAAAACTAAATTCACAATCGTATCACCTCTGTCGGTACATCCTTTAAAATCAATGTCATCCAATTTTAAGGTGACATCAAATATAGACAGTACGTGTGTATATCTATAATCCCAGTAGCACTTACTTCAGTTAAGTTAGCTTTGAAATCTGCAGGTGTTCATTTTCACTCACACTTTACACTATGTATTTGAAGAAAGCGGATGATTCTTCCAGGGAGCTTCATAAATAAAAGACATAATTGTGAGGTTAAAAGAATGCAAAGAGTTTATCCCATCCCACCTCCAGAATCCTTTGAATGTTATACAGTGGATTCACTGCTGAAAGTATCAGGCAATTAAGTTTTCCTCCCAAATGGTCATTAGCTACAACTAGTGAGGTGTAATGTTTTACCTAACATGAAAATAATAGTTTTGTTTACTGTACTGTCCTTGTACAGATCGAGACAAGCTATAACACTCTATCAGCTCTCTGCCAGTGGAGGTTCCCTGGTAAATAGAATCACTCAGCCTTTGCCTGCTTCGCTCAAAACCCATTTGTTCCTTTCTGTGCTAGGGAGGAGGCAATCGCTTTTGCACTTTTTACACAAATAAGGCCATTTTTTTCCTTCTGCTGCTACAGTCGGGTCTGTATAGGATTGCGACCATGTGTGTTTCATTGTAAAAGAAACCGCTTCAAAGCTAATCCCTTCTGGGCTCTTTGGGTGTTCCACAAATGAGAAGACTACCTTTTGATAGGCAGTTGATATGGCCAAAGTATACTAGCATTCTGAGGATGTAAAATGGCTCTGCTATTTGTTTCATTTGATTGCAGTTCTGGATTCTGCATCAGCAGAGCATAAAACGATGAGGTTGGATTGCCAGATTCCACATTAAGCAGATCTTCTACACCTTTAATAAAAGGGAGAATATTAACAGTTATACCTTCTCCACCATTACAGCTTTATGATGGCTAAAATTCCATCAGCTGAATTCTCCTTTTGCTGCAAGTGGTAATAATTATAGGCGTAAAGCTTGGCTTCATCGTTTGTTGGAAAATTCTTTGAATAATTGGGGATAAACATACATCAGATGCTTCCCCTTCTACTTGAGACAGTTTTGCATTAGGTGAAACTTCATTGTCTCTTTTTCCAGCAGTTTTCTGGTGACAAGAACAATTGCAATAACAAAAGAAAAAGCATGGGACTATTTCTGTCATCCAAATGATCACTGCCAGCTGAAATCATGCCATGCTAATTTTTTTCTATACATTTATAAAGAAATCCTCACTTCTAGCATGTTTCTCTCCAAAATATTTAGGCCATTAAGGACAGTAGTGAAAAGTTTGCTGACTGAGCTGATCAATGGAATGTGAAGGCAGTTTGGGGCTATTTACTTTTGCACAAAATATTTCTCCATTAGTCAATTTGTATTCTATTCAAATGTAGATAGATGGGCAAAATGGTTTTCCTTGTGCATTTCAAACCCATCAAGGAGAAAATAAAACCTCCCAGTAAAACACATAGGCAAAGCACCATCTGGGAAAGCTAGTTCATCTGTCCAGGGGCTATGCTCTGCAAAATAGTACAAGGTCATTTTATATGGGTTAGCATAATACTTTGCTAGGCAATTTTCAAAAGGAGATAATCTAGTGTAAAAACCCCAATTAATTAATTCCAACAGATGTTGGTAGATGGTAATGTGTTTACATGTCAAAAGCTGCAAATAAAGGTTTCTACTGCCTGAAAATGTGTGCAACTTTGAGTAGAGGAACAGTTATAAGTTCCACGATATGTTTCATCCTAATCTATACATATAAATCGCCTTTTAAAAAGTGAGATCTCAGAAATACTCATACGCACACGTACATTTTGCATAAACGAATCTGGGCAAGTCTATTTGTTTTTGTGGAACTATCCCCACATACCTAATCTCTGTCCTGACTTTCCTAATCTCTAAAGTGGTGTTTCTCAACCTTGCCGACTTTTAGATTTTGTGGGTTTTAA